TTGTAATTATAATTTATTCATTATATAAAAAATTATGTAAATATTAAAAAAATTACGATCACGATGAGCACAAATTATTATCTAACTCATTATATTCATGATTATCAATATAATAAAAAATGTGACCACAACGTCAATTTAAATTCCTATATCGAAGTTAAATTTATTGCTTTGAAGGATTCGGTTGAATAATTTAAACGCCGATTAGTCATTGTCAGAAGCAAAATTTGGAAGCAAGTCACTTCAACCATGTCAGTGATGGTACCAAATTAAAAAAAAATAAAGATTAAAGATCAGAAAAAAATCCGATTGTCAATTAAGTTTTTCAAGAGTATTTACTTTCCTCATTATTAAAAACTCACTTTGGCTTACAAATAAAGTTCCTATTGTAACACTTCAAATATAAGAAATTGAACCTCATTGTTTAGAGATTCGTTATAATCCCGAGATGCATAGGTTGAGTAGAACTATAGGATGGAAAAAGATTATCACTTTTTTTTTTTTGTGCTCAAGTCATATTTAATATATAAGATAATAGATATGATAAAATAATAATTATAATATATTATGTTTTTGTGTTTTAAAAGATGGATGAAATTACGAAGAAGATTAATTATTTTTTTTATAGGATATTCAATTTTTTTTTAAAAAAAATTATTTTTAATCTATGAAATTAAATTTATATATTTTATTATATTTTTAAAAATTATATAATTTAAAAAAAAATAATTTTAATCAATAAATAAATTATCTTATTCTAATTATTACACAAATCAAACATAAATTAAAATAATATTATATAATTTAATTCTATTCATAATATAATTTTATTTTATCATATCCTCAAAGTCTTATATTACAATTATACGTTTCCCTTAATACTTTTAATTTTGAACTTGGTTCGCTGCTTCCCTTCCTCTTTCTGACCCACATTGATCTGGTAGCAATACAAAAGGGTTCAAATATCATATCTAACCGAACGGCTACCTTGGAACCAAGACTTTTCTTTAAAAATTATGTAATTTATTAATAAAATATTGAATCTTTAATTATAGTAATTATAATAGTAATTATAATTTACTTTTAATAACCTCGGGTATAAAAAAATCAACATCCCCCATTAGCCGAACCAACTCATAAAAAAAGCAGCTGACGGTTATTAATTTATTTTGTCTTTCCAATAATTTTCTTTCAAACATCACAACTTTTCTTCACTTAAAGCAGGTAAGATTTTTTATTTTTAGTTTTCATATATAATTGCTCATTGACCGAATCTAAAGCTTTTAACTCCAAATTATCTCAAAAATGAGGATGTCTTGGGATTTAAGGTTTCATGTTTTAAGTCCCATTTATATATATATATATATTTTGTATGTGTAAGTTAAAAAATATAATTTTATTTAGGTTTGTTTGGTTAATTACTTAATTTTATTTATTTTTCTATTAATTTCCTCTACTAAATTAATTACTTCATATATATATTTATATATATATATATATTAAAATTTAATTATTTTCTTGTTTCGCCTTGACATCCACTGATGAGTACTTTTGTACTTTGTAGCATTTCTTAATCAGATCAATACGTAACGGTAATGAATGAAGTGAGAGAGAAGAGTGCTTGGAAGAAAATCGAAAAAGGATATAAAGAAAAGGGCAAAATCCGTCTTTTACAATGTGGCTGACTGAAGAACTGGCCTTTATATTTATAGTCACTTGACCTGATGAGATATGAACTCTTTTTTTTTTTTTTTTCCCTTAAAAATATTAAGGGATATTGAAAAGGATAGCAGATCTCAAATGCTTATTAGTTATTATAATGTCAAAAGTATTATTAACAGAATTTCTTATTTAATTATAAGTCTATCACATACATGCATAATCTTTTATTAATAAAATAAAATGAAGAATAAAAAGTAATGATTTAATGAATTTTGTATCTAAAAATGTTTATAAATTACTATTCTAAAATAAAATCTTTTTTTTTCTTTTTTGTTTTAACATTTTAAAATCTTGAACTAAAATCATAACTCAACCCCTATCCAATACCATTTGAGTTACGTCTTCTCTTTGCATTTCTTCTTATGTTTGGGCTTGGATTCTGCCTCCTTGAACCTTTGCACTTGGACTTGGGACTTCGTTTGTGATTTAGCTTCAAAGTACTAATGGCCTCACTCTTTGCTTCAACACCATTTCCCTCAACGGGCAACTAGACAAGAAAAGCAACCAAAAAAAAGAAGAACAAGAAGAGAAAAAATTAAGATAAGTGATCTTTAATTTTAAAGTAATTTTTTACCATATGTTACTAATTAATTAATATATGTTTAATTTAGTCCAACTTAACAATATAAACATAATATTTCATAGTTTAAACAGTAATGAGCATAGATGGGTAATATTTGTTTTTGAATGTTTTATATAATATAGTCTTTATAACCCTTATGTTTATATATTAAAATTTTCTTTTTGTTAAAGGATATAAGTCATGATGGTTGTCGAAATATAAGATACACATCATGTCTTATGTGCGTGATTATTTTATTGTTGATCTCGTTTTTGAATACACATTCGCTTGAAAATCTTAGTCAAACAATAAAGTATTCTAGTGAGTTTCAATATGTTTGAGCTTACAATTTTAGCATTAGACGGTTGTATTCTGTTTTCTTTCTTATAGAAAATTTTTATCTGTCATCGATGTAGGTCGAAATCAAACCATTCATGAAAAATTTGTGTCCTTATTTGATCTTTCTTACTGTTTTTTTTTTTTTTTTAATTTCTTGCAGCAACACATTCATTGGATTAAGACCTGATTAAGAGTAAATCGCTGGACTTGTTCTTCCCTATATATTCAGCCTATATCTAGAAGTACTTTACAGGATGAGTTGCTGCTGAATTTTAATTGTCCGTAGCAGTTATCGTTAAAAAACATAATAGTCGCCCTTTGCTGTTGGATGTCCGGCCCATTATCCCAATAATTTACTCTTAAATCCTTAATCAAGGCAAAAGGTGACGACTGACGAGTGAAGCTGAAGATAGCTACACTCGCCAGCGGTGAATGGAGTGCACCCCTGGACTGCTTCTTCTGTTTCAGCCACTAGGTTAATCAGATTCTTGCCTCAACCACATAAATGATAACACCCCACACACCCACAAGCTTTCCGCCAAATCACCCTTCAATTATGGGCAACCGTTACCTGCATGCCTTCCTGTCTGTTTGATTGCATTCTTTCAATTGTTGAAAATGGTACCGACGGCTCCCTCCCGGCCCCAAGACTAGGACTGAAATTAATACTAATTGATTTAACGTTTCCTAATTGGCTTCTTCTAACAATGACAATGAGCAATTAGCTACTTGGACAAACGACGTACAGGTCATTCCAAATTATATATGTTATAAATATCTACCTGGGTCCTGATAGTAATATTGGATTGTTAATTGTCACTTCATCTATCCTTAATTATTTGTCCTTTGTTCATTTTTATTTATATTAAAAATCTAATTAATTAACACCTTTAAGCTTGGTGTTGGTTGCGTTTGATTGGAAGAGTATGAATAAAATTAATTAAAGTGAAAATTTTAAAGAGTTTATATTTAATACATTGTTAGTATATAAATTTTATATTCTATCAATGAATCAAAAGATGTTATCTCATTAATGAATAAATATTAATTTTTAAATTAGATATAAAAAATTAATATTATTTAAAAACTTACACATTAATAAGATAATATTATCTGATTTTACATATTAATTAGATGTTATCATCTGATTTTACATATTAATGAGATGTTATCATCTGATTTACTAATAATACATAAAATTTTTACACTGACAATTCATCAAACATAAACTCAAAATTTAAAGTACTTTCAAAGTTTGATGGTTAAGCCATACTGCTTCTCATCTCATTGGAAATCATCATATTATATGTAGAAAAAAAAAAGAAAAAAAAATTCTTTTCTTCAGCTTTCCCTCCTTATCACCAAACAGAGCTTTTATGATCTTGGAAACATTAAGACAATGCCTAAAGCAAGACAAATGCTTTCCAAAAGGTCGCAGGGAAGATAAATGCTTTGGTACATAAACATATGTAGCTGACTGTTCATTAATAATTTAGTTACTCAGCATACAGTTTCTTTTCCCATTTAATTGTGATGGTTAATTAAAATTTAAATATAAAAATTGAAATTTTTGTACTTTAAGAATTTATCATAATGAATTTACGGTGACTTGAATTATAAAAAAAAAAAAAAAAAAAACTCTTTTAATTAGAGGCATGATATTTTAAATTGTAACATCTTCTTCCATTATACAGAAATATGAGTATATTTTTAAAATTTTAATTTATTCTTGAATTTCATAATTTTCAAATGTCAATTTTAATATAATATCAACCGATCCAAAAATGAATGGTAAATAAGGTGCACTTGTGGAGGTTCATTTATGTTTTTTAAACCCCAATATCCCTTGAAAAAAAAAAAAGAAAAACCAAAACAAAACTCTCACTGCTTAAAAGTGAGCAACGAGAATGTCTATCGGTGTTGGATTACAGTTTTCTGTGAGTGTTGGAATTGTTGTTACCTACACTATTTTTGAATTTCCCGTATGGTATTGATATACTTTTTTTTTAGGGCTTCTATTTTATCTTTGCTTTATTGCACTCTTAACTGCAATAGGATATTTATAATAATTTCACTACTTTTAATAAAATCTTATTCTGGCAGAAAATAATAATAATAATAATAATAAAGCATGTCTATCGGTAAGGCTGAGGTGCTTAAAATCTTCATGCTTTCAGGACTTCACTTGCATCCTTTGGAGGGAAATGATTCCTTCCGCACAATTAAGAAAAGTCGCTAGAGGAGATATTTACTCCTTCGCTCTAAGAAGATACAGTACTCTTGAATAGTTTTACGATTAATATTTATTTAATTTTTGTAAAATTAATTTTTTATTTAAATTTAAATCATTAAATTTCAATCATTAAATAATTTTATTATTCATAATATATATATATATATATATATAAGAAAAACAAATCTGTGATAGTATTATATTACATTAAGGACGTAGAAATACTATATATAGTTGCATAAAGCAACCTCGTACACGGCGTACAACTCTAAAATTAGGATAACTCCTAGGAAGAGTAGTATGCACATGGATTTTTATCATCCATTTTATTCTCTCAGACTATCATATTTTCCCTTCCTTCGGACGAACTTCACTTCACGCTGCAATACCAACGACGAAAACGAACATTAATTAGTTAAGAAATCATTAGTAATTCAACTTAAAAGCTGTTATACAACCCTTTGGGCCATTTTCTTTCCTTTCGATTTCAGTGTAATTTGGTTCAAAATATAGAATGGAAAATGTACGAACTTTTTGCAGTCAGTGTTGGGGCTGATCTTGTAAGGGATGCTCACACCGCACTTGCCTGGAAGTCCACTTGCGAGACTGTAGTTGATGCCAGAAATGCTACCGGAAGCAGTTTTGATGCAGTTACAGACGGCTTGGCGGTCTGCTGTCGTTTGAGCTCCAGAGTTGAGAGATTTGATTCCACTGCAGCAACCAGCAGGCACAGTACCGCCGTTTCTTAGGTAACTAATGCATGGTGACAGAGCACTTGTGACTTGACCGCATGTTACGGCCCCCTGCGTCAGGGGTGCACCCACAACCAAGCACAAAACCACAAGACATGCAAGCTTAAGGATCATAGAGCTAGCCATAACGATTTATTAGATGAAAATAACAATTTTACAGAACTTAAGAAGTATTACTTGATTACAGTAAGGAAGCTGATTGTTGCGTGCTAAGGCCTCGAAGGTTTGAGGGTTTTTATAGGGAAAATTAAGTTGAGTGGGGTAATATTAGTATGGCGTTAGGCGTTAGTAGTTGGCTAAATTCAATGCTAGGTTCTTTTCTTTCCTTTTCATGTTTCACCTTTTATATGGGTGAGTGTTTTTAATGCTTTGATTTTTTTTTTTTTAATACCGCGAGTAGGGATTGGAGTTGTTTGAACTCAAATCCAAGCCTTACAACATGCCATAACTCCTTTAACCACTCGGTCTAGAAGTGGCAATGCTTTGAAAAAATTGCATTTATCACTTTCATCTTAATTATGCTAACATTTTTCATCAATAATAATTTGTGTCTCGATTGATCGCCTACAATATTATTAGTGTTTCCAATCTCTAGAGATGTAGAATTCGTAGAGATGCAATCAAACATACCATCAAATTGCTTTGGAACATCTTAGGATAACAATATACTATACCATAATTCCATTTGTCTCACTTTTCTTTTAAAGATTTACATGAAAATTTTTAGGTGAAATTCATGAAATTCTCAACTAGAAATAATTAAATAAAAATTAAAATTAAAAATCAAATCGATAAATTAAAATGTCTTATTAGATATATAATTATTTTGATATACATATAAATTTTGAAATTTTTTTAGATAATCATTTCAGTAAAAATTTTAAAAATATTGATCAAATTTTAAAAATTTTTACCATTAATAAATATTGATCAAATTTAAATTATAAATAGCATTTTTAATAAATTTTTACATATTATTGATTTATTTTAAATACATCAATTTATTGATTTGGTTTTTTTATTAAAATTTTAATTGAATTGTTTTTATTAAAATTTTTCACGAATTTCACCAAGAAAATTTCATCAAGAATTTTCCACTTATCTCTATATATATATGTTTTCTAACTTTTTATATTTAACTAACTTGTAATAATTTTTGCTATATAAATATGTATATATTATACACACAGAAATTAGTATTCTTCACGTTATTACATCCAAGCCTTCAAAATTATGATATATATATATATATATATATAATACATATATCCTACTCGACTACTTACATTTGTTATAAGAAAATTAAATTTGTTGAAAAAAATTCATAAAATTCCACATATATTAGATTAGTATTGTTGAGTAAGATAAAAATAAAACAAATAAAATTTTACATTAAGCCACAGCTAATTTTATCCAATTTAATTAACATAAATTTGGAATTTCACTTATGATTTTGATATTGTGATCAAGAATAGCTTGTTTATTGCATGTTTGGCTTCATTGAGTTTTGTCTTTCTTGTTCTAATGTCTAGTACAATTGAAGTTGAATTTAAAGTCCAATGGTTAAGCTTAAGATTCATTTTTAAGGCTCAAAATATGGAGACTCACACCTAACCTAAGGATTTTTTTATTTTAATTTGATGGTGTTATAGTTTTGTTTCACAAAAGACATCTTCTAAATATAAGTTTAAGTCTTTACTTATATATCTAATAGATTATTAGAATATCTTGATATAGAATTGACATGTCACAAATTACTCTTTAAAACTTGACGTTCTTGTTAAGCCCAATACAATACACAAATAGAACCACAAAATCAAGATCTCATCAGACGTTAGAATTTTAGATATGGCTCTCATTGTGTAGCACTTTGCTCCATCGAGATTCTAGAGATGGTGCCTACGGTGTAGCATTTTGCTTCTATCCGACTAATGACTGCTTTTATACTATTTGAGAAAACCTATACTCAATTTGCGAGGTATTGTTTATTTTGACTCAAAAAACTCACAGTTTTTTCACATAAAAATCGCCTTACAAGTATAGGTTTAAGTCTTTTCTTATGTATAGTAACAGATCTTTATAACATCCTAATGTGGAATTGGAGTGTCATTAATGTAATATCCAAGCCCAAATGATAATTTGGCTAACCAATTACCAAAACCCATTAGTTTAATTAAAAGATTAATTACTAAAAGAAAAAAGGTTGAAGTATTTTATGAGAGAAAACCTAGCCACCTTTATTTAACATGGGACAGAGAAAAAAAAAAGAGAGCTCATCTTTCTCATCTATTTTAAGGTTGGAGAATTTGAAAAATCAATTTAAAGCTTCAAAATTAGAGGCCATAGTCAAATTAATCTCCTAAAAGTGAGTATACGTCATCTTTTCATTTTAAAAAAATACTATGTTGATTGCTATTAGTTGGAGTTGAAGTTTATGTGTGAAAAACCTAAAAAATTTATAAAATCTCTCATTAATCTTCATAATCTTTTTGGGTAAACTATTGGACTTAGTTTTTTTCATATTTTTAAGATTTAATGATCATTATTGAGTGGATTTTTAAAGGCTGAAAGTGGGATTTGAATTTTTAAAATTTGGAAGAGAAATTTTGTTTTGGATAAGATGTTATTATAAAAAATAGTGGATTAAACAAAATTTTTTATTAAGAGATAAAATATTACTATAAGTATTACATACCATTGGAAAGCTTGTTGAATTTACTTTCCAATGAGATAAATGAAAGTTGATTTTGAGTTCTCTATAAATAGTTGTCTAATATTTACTTAGTGAGTGCAAAGCTACCTAATAGCATCATCATGGATGAATTATGAAAATTCTTTTAAATTTCACACAAGGAATTATATATTGAGCCATATATGTTTGGAAAGCTTATTGAGTCTACTTCTAATAAAACAAATGAAACTGAATTCTAAGTCCCTTATGAATAAATATTTAATTTTTACTAAAATGTATACTTTATGTCTGGCAGCAGTGCATAATGTGGATTGCAAAAATTATTACAATTAATCTGTTAAGAATTACGAAGTGAGTTATATAAGGTTAGAAAGCTTATCAAGTTTAGTTTTTAACTCACTAAAAATATCTTAACTCTAAGTTATATACCTTACATGGGCTCTGAATTGGAGCCCAAAACAAAGAATCTATCATGCCTAAAGAATAAGGCTACTAGGCTAAAATGGTCCAAATCGAGTAAGGTCGAGCTTGATGAATCCAAGTTACAGGTTAGACATAATGAGTCAGATCGAATATCCTTTCTCTTTTTTTTCTTTTTTTATTTTCCTTTTCTTCTATCATAACTACATTGTTTTGTATCTAGCATATAGGTAAAAAGAAAAAAGAAAAAACCCTTTTATTCAACAATTTTCTCTTTACCATTTTTTCTCTACCCTGAGCCTATCTCTCTCTTTAAATTGCTTGGTTGCTACATTAGTGGTTAGTGATATAGTGGTTTCAATTAAGCTAATGGTGGTTCATGATAGTAGTGTGGGTTTGTTTAACTGAGATGGTTGGTAGTGGATGGTATTTGAGCATTTGGCTCTCGGTTAATGCTAGGTTGATGGTGGTGATGGAGGAAGTTTTGGTGAATTAAAATTTTTACAGGAATGCAATAATAGGCTACTGCATTTGGGATATTAGGTCTATGATCAATTGGTGTTAGGAAGTCATAAGGGTAAAAAAGAGGAAAAAATGAGAGAGCTAGGAATGGTGTAACAAAATGGGATTAGGGAAAGTGACAATTTGGGGGAAAGGAAAAGTGAAGGAAGGTTGTTGATATGGCAGCCAACCCTCTATTTCTCTATTTTTTTTTAATTTTTTTGTTTTTTCTTTAATTATTAACTTTTAATTAATTGGACCTTAAAATCAAATATTGGATTTCCAAATTTTAGGCTTTAAAATTTGATCTTAGATTTAATCCAATTTTGAATTAACCCAAATTGATTTGGACTGGACCTTAACCCATACAAAATATAATTTAAAACAATAAAGCCTAAATAAGACCAACAAGATATATCCAATTAAAACGCTTAGGCTAGCCCAATCAAAATGTTAAATTCAAGCAAAAAAATTGAAAAATATCAGTCCTTACAAATAAAATTAGGTGTTTACAACTGCCCATTATTTACACATTATTAAGAATTAAGAATAAGGTAAAGACATAGATGACAATTTTGTCTAAAATCAATGATTTAAAGATTTTTTTTCAAAAGCTTTTTTAAAAATTTTTTTGGATTTTTTTTACTTTTTTATTTAGCAAAATTTGATTTTTCTAGGATTTTCTAAACTTTTTTATTTATTTTGAGTTTTTTATTTTTTAGATTTTTCATTTTTTTGGATTTTTGTATTTTGAAAAACTCTTATTATTAGAGGCTTTATAATTTTTAAAAATAAATTTAAAAGATCCTCTCATTAGAAGTTCCACAACTTTTTGAAACAAAACATTTGTATGCCTTGAAGTCATACAAATCACGTCTAAAGGTCTTAGGTATCATCACCATTAGTCTTTCAAGTTTTTCTTATCTTTGCCTAGAGGTTTTTAAAATTATGCTTGGGGGTCTTACAAAACTTGATTCTAAAATAGATATGCTCAGAAGACTTACGAATGTTGCACAAAGATCTTATCAATTACATTTTCTTCAATTCTAGAAGGTCTTTGTAAGAAATTTTCTCATCTTGATGCTCAAAGGTCTTAAAGAGTATGTTTTTTCAATGCCTGAAGGTCTTTACAACAAAGTTTATCATCTTGATGTTTAAAAGTCTTTAAAATTTTCTTATCTTGGAAATCTTAAAAGTTCTAAACATTTTTCTTTCTTAAAAAAAATCTTAAAATTGATACCATATATATTTCCTTTTTTTCAATAACTTTCTCGAGATTGAACTTAGAGGTCTCATAAATCACAACACTCTAGATTATGCTTGGAAGAATTACAAATCTTGCATGAAAGGCATAAAGACTATGTTGAGAGATCTTCTAAATCTCGATACTAAAATAAATTTAACTTGAAAAACTTACGAATCTTGGTCAGAGGACTTAGAAATTATGTATAGATATCTTATAAATCTCGACACTAAAACATATTCAAATTGAAAGACTTATGAATCTTATTCGGAAGATTTTGAAATTATGCCCGAAAGTTTTATAAATCTTAATACTAAAATAGATTCACCTCGAAAAACTTACA